TAAAATCGCCGGTCAACCGCGAATTAGCGGGCATTTTGAGGGCCTTATACCTTCTCGGAATGTACATTTGAACTCGAACCCTTTTTCAATCGATTTTATCTGTTTGAATCTTTTGAAAAACCTTATATTTTTCTTGATTTTTTACTAAAAATTAAGTGGCGACTCTGATTTTTTGAAATTCGATTTCTCTTAAATCATAAGAATCGATTTTTCAAAACTAAGTCATTTTTCTTGTATATATCTTTTTAAATAAAACAATATATATCCCTCATCTCCTTTTAAAGTTATACATAATTCTAATTAGAATATTACGAAATACCCTAATACAATACCTTAAATTACGATCACAATTTATGTTAAGCAAGTTAGCAATTATCACAACATTTCAAGTTCCCAAAATGAGACTAAAACTATTCTAGTAATTAAGCAACGGTAAATCGACATGCGACTCTAGGTTAGTATTTAGGGGTGTTACAATAAGCACTGATACATTAATCTGATGCGCGTGATACAATAATATAAGCGTTGATACATTAATCTGATGCGCAAGATACAATAATATAAGCGTTGATACACTAATCTAATGCGCGAAAATGAGGGATTTCTGTAATTATAAACTTTTTAAGGGATAAATTGTAAGTTTACCTTAAAAGTATGTGATTTCTGTAATTTGCCCTTTATTTATTGGTCCACATAAAATTATGATTCAACCCAAAAGGACCCGACTCATTCATGGCCCAACCCAACATAAACCGTGTTTTATATTAACACAACTAGCGATAAAATTATTCTTTCACCTCCCATAATCTCTCAATTTTATGAACAATTATCTAAAGGAGAAAGTGTCAAACCAATTGAGAGTGTTAAGTATTTCGTTTTTGTAATGGCGAAATGTTGTTTAAATTTAGTCTTGTTAGTTAACTAATATCTCAGTTGATTTTTTTAGTCGTTTCTAAATGAGTTTTATTACATTTACAAATTATGGAAAAATTGAAGTTTACGAGAAGCAATTTATTTAGGGCAAACATATTGACCATCATTTTGCTAGGAATGTCAGGAAAATATTACAGTATAATCTAGGGACATTAGCTATTTAGGTTTTTGCCTTTCTTGTGGATCATCCTATGGATATCAAATGATGGAAATAATAAAGTAGAAATTTGAAACTTGGAAATACATTCTCCCTCGAAACAACATGTTAGAGAGATTTCGAAAACCTAGCTAATCTATTAGTTAAAGTCTTGAAGTTGAAGGCAAGGTAAACACAAAAAAAATATTATATGATCCTTCAAATAGTATTATTTGATGTTCTCATGATAAAGAAGAAACATCAATCACTCTCTACTTGTACTATACTAACATTCTTGCCAAAAAGAAAGTAGAAGGAAAAATATCAAATATACAATTCTAATTAATTGTCTCTCAAGACTCATTAATACTAAAAAAAACAAAGAATTAGAGATGACGTTTTTTATAGCTACATAGAAAAATTTGTCACTAATTTTATTTAGTGACGAATTATCAAAAACTTATGTTAGTTACAAGTAATTTAGCGGACGAGTTTCATAGCGATTTTTTCTTAAAATAATGTTCAATGACACAATACAACAAGTTTGTTACTTTTCTTTCTCTTCTTTCTTCTCTTTCTCTTCTTTTTCTTCTTTCTTTTCTTTCTCTTCTTCCCCGTCACCTCGCCATAAATCAGACAATGTAGGAAGTTTGTATTCGCCACTATAAGTGAGGGGAATGGTGAAGTTGCCAAATACAGGAAGGTCAATAATGAAACCCAACTCAAGTGTATAATCTATGTCCCAATCTGCTGCAATATCCCTCACTAAGCTCAATATCGCGCTGTGTGGAACCTTTGCTGGGACATCTACTAGGGTTGTGCTTTTCGCCTTCAATGAGCCCGGGTCTGGAATTGTACCTGTAGCTACTATGCTGGAATTCAATTCAAAGTAAAGTAATCAATAAGAGTGAAAGAAAAATAATTTTTGAGTGATAAACTATGAAGTTTGGGTGACTTTTATGTATAAATAAAAATAAAAATAGAAAAGTGAATTTTGTGCGATAAATTATCAAAGTTGAATGACCATTAGTGAATCTACCCCAAGTGCCCTCAGGCACACATGAAAATGAACTCATAAACCTATCTTTTGCATTTTGTTTTTCTATCATGTTACTAGTTATTCAAAAATATATAGTCGAGTTAAGAATCTTTCAGAAACATGATCTCTACCCTTACAAAGGTTGGAGTATGATTTGTATACAAAGGTTGGGGTATGACGGGCGGGTCCTATTCATCTCATGATGATAAATAATGGTGTTCACCAAAAACCCAAAAATCGATCAAGAACACATATATTTTTATCGTTTAGTTTGATTTTTATTTGAAATTTTAAAAATCGATAAACTTTGGTATTAATCAAAAAAGCTATTGGAAAAATCAAACCAACCCGACTATATAAATATATACCTAATTTAAAATCATACAATTGCACATATATAACTAAAAAAAATCAACAAAATCAAACCTATGAAAAAATCGACTTAATTAATTTGTTTTAATTCCAACATTTGAAAAATAAATTTAATTGATTTTAGTTTCTTTACCAACCCAAATTATATCATAACTATTAGTTGTGCATTCGCAATGAACCTACCATTTAACAACGTGCGTATTATATCATATAGTAATTTTAGTTTTTGTACCTGCCCCCACATTTGACAACATAAGCAATCTCCATGATAGGAATTGGAACATGGTAAGGATTCGTAACAGAAACTTTAGCATGATATGAAATGCTATCAAAGCTAATATTCTTCACATCCACATCCATAACCGTTGCTTCTGGCTTCTCCATCTCCGCCACCTTCTCTGATACGTAATTCTTCGCCTTGTCTACGTAATCCATCCTTCTTGAACAAATATTTTGGATTTGAGTTTCGAAGGAAATAATGAGATTGTCGATATAAAAGATAAGATAGACTTGAATTCCTGTCAATCGATATTCAGCTAGTTATATGATGTGAAAAAAAATAGATTGGATTTCTTGTTATGACAAGACGGATTAACTAAATCCACGGCTGGCTATCCATTTATTCTTTAATTACTCATGTGTTATATTGATTTATATTATTACTTTAGAATTTAGGATAATATATTTAAATTGAGATATAGTATATTTTAATTAATTTATGATTGAATATGCTTTGTGAAATATTATAAGAATCGAAATTAAAATTATCAATAATTAAATAATTAAAAATGTGATATCCCTTGGCTTAATCAATCAAACAAATAATGCGATGAGTTTAAATACAATAGAATTGGAAATAGTTATGATGTTGGTTTATGGGATGGAGGGAGTATTGTGGATCATCTATTTTTAGTAAGACGACAAGTATTAAGAAACAAAGAGTATTAAATATAGAAATGCGTCATTCTTTTTGGAATTAACTAAAAAAATATGTGTTATATTATCTGGACACGCAAAATATTTTTGACTCAATTTATGTCCCTTAAAAATATTTATCACTTTATCGTAACTTATCGATTACAACAGTAATCTACTCCCATTTGTAGAACATGAATATGTTTGTTCTCCCATGGTTAGACAGTTTTAAAAGTTTGGAATAGTTGTTGTGTTCAAGATATTCTCTCCTGGAATTATTCCTTTTTAAGAATAGATATATGCCACTCATTTGGTTTTACCTTAAATTAAGGCAGAGTCAATATAGTTCTAATTAATTCAACTATATTTGATATTTTTTATGCAAAGTATATAATATAAATATATAAACGAGAAATAGGTATTGACAAATTAAATGCTAATTTAGTGATTAAAATTATAAATATTAAATTCTTCAAATTAGAATCTTAAATCCGTTTCTAAATTGAAGGGACATTTCTAAAATTATAAAATTTGCTATAAATTGTTATTGTTATTGTTAAAATGTATCTCATTCACTTGGAAGAATAAAATAGACGCTTCAAGTAAGTTTTCCAATATTCCTTTCGGCCGACTAGAAATCTCCCCCAAAAAATTGTTATACGATCACACACATATGAACTAACGACTATAAAAGTATGGAAAGTTAATAAAGAAATAAATCATTGGTAATAATTATAACAAAAAATCCCTTATTCCAATCCTACCCTAATAACGAGTTGGGTTACGCCAACTTTACGGTCTAAGCCCATTTTAACGACTCTAACTGCAAGACATGCCCCGTAGAAATAACTAATGTTCAATTAAGATAATAATATGATTGCACATGAATATCTACCATGTAACCTAAATTATTTATGAATGCAAGTCTCAATGATGCCAAAGTTGAATTAAACTAAATCACACTCTAAAAATCAACTCAAAGGAGAATGTATTATAAGGAGCTCATAGTTCACGTCAGTCAATTATATTAAACTATATTCAAGTTAAACAAAAAATAATTATAACAAAATTAACCTAAAAACTATAAATGAGAAAAATATTGAAAACACTCCTAAATTTAACGTGAATTATTAGTTTCATTTCTAAACTATTGACAGTCTTAAAGATATCCTCTGCTTGACTAATTGAAAGTACATCATTGATCTTGTCACATGAGTGAAATACACTCCTAAATTCTAGCCAAATTTAGGAGAGTTTTCAACACTTCTACAAGAGTTTGACACTATTTGTTATGTCAAGTGGTAGATCTGAGATGTATTTAAGTTCAGTAGTCAATAGTTCAAAAATAAAATTAATAATTCACGTCAAATTCAAGTCTCAAATTTATACTATATTTATATACCCATATCATTCTAAAAAGAAATCCTTAAAAAAAGAAGAATGAATCAATCAAACACTTTCTTTCCCTTTCTCTACATGGCTATGATCTCTTTCTCTATAATGATGGGGGAATGGAATTTATACATTACATCTACAAAATCAATAAAGTTTCTCATTTCAAGATTCTCTTTTTTCCTTTCTATCTTCCAATCTTTAACGGACAAAAAAAATAATACTACAAACTAAAAAGAACAAAAGCATCATTTCTTTAACTTTTTCTGCCACGTGTCCTTTTCCTGTAGGTCAATCAACCACCGCCGGCCGCCGTAGTTGCAGCGCTATTCGCTAGCCAAGGGAACTGAAAAGTCCCCGGAAATTTCTCCGGCGAGACTTCTCCGGTGGCCGGAATTTCCAATTCATCCAATCCGTCGAAGAAATCATCTTCCGGTTCCATTTTATCCAACCCAACATCGGAAACACCAAATTCATCATCGTCATCTTCAAAAATATCCTCTTTTTCGTCCCTGCTGCTTTCTTGATTTTCCGGTGCCGGAGAGTTGGTCGGCGGCGACGAGCCGGTGGGTTTCG